ATCTGTTCCACTTTGCCCCCAGATTTTGTCATGGCTCATGAACCTGCATCTGGGGAGGATGAAATTGGCAGGGAGGCATTGTGGCTGGAGGCCCCGTACTTGCTCCTCGCTTTGGAGCTGGCTGCTCAGGACTTCAAACAGTTTGAGAAGTCTAATTTACTGGGATTGGCATGGCTGAGGAGCAGGATTAGGTTGGAGTAGTGGTTTATGTGGGGGAAGTGTTACCTTAATTCAGCATTTCCTGTTCCTCTTGGTTTTGCTGTTTGATTTTGATGATGACTATACAGGACAAGAACATGATTAATACCATATTATCGAGCTCTGAGATGCCAACCTTCTTCAGGCAGTGCCAGCATGGCTGGGGATTACTGAGCTAAGTCTTCCTTCTGGGAATAGTCATCCTATTGCCATTCCCCAGTGCAGCCAGCTGCCAGCTTAACACTCTGTTGGCTGCTTCAGTGCTTCAATTCTGGTGATTATTTGCAAAAACCCCACATTTCTTTCCAGTTTCAAAGCATGGCAGTGTGAATGTGGGGAGAAAAAGGAGGGAGGACTGCCTTTGGTTTGCTGCTTATTGGATGGGGTTGAACAGTGCATTTTTCCTGTGGAAAGGAAGGTTTAAGACGGGTTTGGATAAGGAGGTGAAAGTGCTCGTGGCTGGCTTGAGTACAGCAGAAAATGTTCTATTGCCTGGCAGCTCTATTTCCAGGGCAATAATCATCATTTTAATATCAGCTGTGGCAGTATCCTTAAGGTGGGAAATATGGAGGTGGCAGTAGGCTTCTGGACCAGTTTTCTTTAGGCCATTTGGTCCCTTGAAAATAAGGGTGAGAACTTCCTTCCAGTGCAGAACTCCCTTTACACCCTTCCAGAACATAAAGAAGATTTATGAGAGAGCTGGAGAGGGACTTTGGACAAGGGGGGGAATAGCTTTCTATTGACAGAAGTCAGGGTTAGATGGGATGCTGGGAAGGAATTCCTTGCTGTGAGGGTGGTGAGGCCCTGGCACAAGTTGCCCAGAGCAGCTGTGGCTGTTCCTGGATCCCTGGAAGTGTTCTAGGCCAGGCTGGACAGGGCTTGGAGCAATCTGGGACAGTGGAAGATGTCCCTGCCCATGGCAAAAGTTTGGAACAAGATGGTATTTAATGTCCCTTCCAATCCAGACCAGTCTGTGATTCCACACGCTTAAGACAGTATTTTGTGGATAGCCAGTGTGCTAGAAAGGCAACAACCTGCCCACATTTGCTGTGGGAAAGAAGTTGTGCTGCAGCCCTTGGTACCACCTGGAGGTTCTTTGATGCCAAGGCTCCAAGTCCAAATGGGCTACAATGCCACAGCCAGCTGGGAAATGAAGAAAGCATTTATCTCTGAGGCTGGGTCATCACATGGATGCAACACAACCTTTTGGCTTATCAGAGATGGTAGAAAATGCTGCTCACAGATGTTGCTATGAGAGAGCTCAATATCAATAAGGAGAAAGAAAACTTCCAGAACACAGATCCTCCTGATAATCCACGAGCACGTGTCCTCGCTCCGAAAGAAATGCAACGCTCCTTGGAGCCTTTCCCTCTGCCCGCAAGCCTAACCTCTGTCCTGCTGAGCCTTAGCCCTGGCCAGCTCCTGCTCTTCCACGTGCTAATCTTGGCGAGACACTGGGACAAGTGAGTGTCTGTTGTGTTATCCTGGGCTGTAAACAATAGGCAGAGCCACGTGTCATCTCCAGGCTCTCTAATCCAAACAGTGGCGTGAGCGCCTGTGCGCTGTTGGGAGCAGTTTTGTGGAGTGCTCGGCATGCGAGGGGGACAAAGGGTGCTCGGCCTGCCAAATATCCCGAGCACAGACGAGGCTCACTCAGACACGTGTGTTGGACAAAAGCAGAGCAATAGTGGCAGAAGGATCAGCAAAGCAGCTTGAGTTGCTACAGCCACTGGTTTTCCTTCTTTTGATGCAGAGAATAGAGAATAATGTTTTTAGGAGAATGCTTCCGCATTCTGGTGAATGTGGAATCTTCTGGGGAGCTGGTGGATGTCAAAAAAGGGTGATATCAGGGAGGGACTGTCAGGGTCATTGATGATGTTAGCAGGAAAAGACTGTTCTTTTGTTCAGACTTGCTCTTTTTGTGTAAAACTCAAGATTTTTGTGAAGCAAATAATTTCTGTGATCTCAGAGTTTACTCTCCACTTCTGGACTGAACCAGGGCTTTTGTGAAGCAGATGAGTTATTTCAACTCCAGGGTCAAAAAGGTCAAAGTCTTTTTACCCTTAAAATGAAAAAGATTAAACTCTGGGCTTTGTACAGCAGAGGTTACTAAAACAAGGAGAAAACTTGGTTCTTTTCCTGGATTTTGAAAGAAATCTGGTGTGTAATATTGAGGAATTTATTTCACTGCTGTGCCTTTCTTTAACCATCTGTAAAATGGGAGTGATACTGCTTCTGTTATGTCAGGTGTCTTAGGAAGTGTAGGACAAATGAGCCAGGGAACAAGCCAGATGCTGATTGTATTGGAGGATCTTTCAAAGCTCTGAATCTGACAAATCCTAACTGCTCACGGATCTGTCATTTTCCTTCACTCCCAGTGTCAAACCTGTGCAGAATAACTGGAAGAAGTTCTGGGCTAGGAGAGTGGGGAGGCCCCAGCACAGGCTGCCCAGAGAAGCTGTGGCTGCCCTGGAAGTGTTCAAGGGCCAGGCTGGATGCAACCTGGTCTAGTGAAAGGTGACCCTGCCCATGGCAGGGGGTTGGAATGTAATGAGATTTAAAGTTCTGTCCAATGCAAATCATCCTGGGATTCTATGAATCTCAAATTCTGTTTTCATAAGGAAACTTATAAAATGTTGCAAACTTCCAGTGATGGGCTAAACACAGCTTCACCATTACGATTTTTTGTTTTCTTGGAAGGGTAAAGAATGCACAGATTTTGTAGCTTTAGCTGCCACTTATTTTAAACAATTCATCCCTGCCTGTAACAGGGAACAAATTATCTTGAGCAGCATGACACTTTGCATATTTTCAGTATATTAATCTTTTTAGAGAAAACAGAGCTTAAGCTTTTAAAGCAAGAGCAAGCAAAGCGTAGTTATATCCTTTAACAGTCCTCCCGTGCTCTACTTTCATACCCAATTATCACCTCCCTCTTTCTTTTGTGGATCACAAAGAAAGCTCAAAGCAATCCTCATGCTGGGCACTGGAAGTGTGTGGGATCAGCAGGCAGTGCCTTGCTCTCCTGTGGATACAGCGCAGAGAAAAACAGGTGAACTTTGGTCTTTGCTTGGTGGCAGGATTCCTCACAAAACCTATAACCAACAAGAGTTAATTAGATTCTGTATCAAGCTAGATGTGGTGCACCCCAAGACATAGATCACATATATTGTCCTTTTCTGCTTCCTCTGCTGCATCTTCCTCTGCATCCTGTGAACACTGTAGGAGAGAGTCCTTAGTGATGTGCTGCTAATGCTGTGTGTGTGTGCTACACAGGCTCTTGCTGCAGGAATGCTGACACAAACAAAAAGGAGATAACTTGGAAATTCTATTGCTCCATTTATGTTATTATTGTAGTTAATGGTCTGTCAGCATTTCCATTATAAATCCCTATTTTCAGGGTTTTGTAACTCAGCCGTAAAAATTCTCTCCAGGCTGAATTTGGCATATGTGTTTTCAGCCTGAGAGCACATGTGTTGTTTTTTTTTAACAAGTTTTTTTTTTAAAAAATAGAACTGCATTCACAATTTTTAAGATATAGAATTGCCAGAAAAAAAAAAAAGCACCAACAAAAAATAGGTGATTGGTTGCAGATGCTTTCTTTGCACTCGTATAACTCAAAAATTGCTGAGTTATTTCAGCTGTAATTGTGGGTATGTGTAAGGTTAAAATGGTGGATTTAGTACTATTCCTTTCTTTATGGTGTTGGTATTTGACAAGCAAATAGAAAACAGACCTCGATACTGTATACACATCTGAGCTGACCTGGGTGTAAACTGACCTCCCAAACCTGCCCCACGCTCCCCTCGCCGAGGCCACATTGCTCCAGTGTCAGCACAATGCGGATGCTGCGAGAGGAGAGCGGGGACCCGAGTTTAGACTTTGCTGGGTTTCTTTACTCCATCACTTCCAATGGGTATGTGCCAGTCTGTGGCTTCAGAATCCAGAATCCCCGTCTGCCAGGTGGTGTTAGGAATAAAGAGCTACAATAGACACGTGTTCCACGCGCTCTGAGGCCCAGCTTTGTCCACCTTGTTTACAGAGGGCCTGCCCTGTGTCTGAAATCACCCCAGAGAAGTTTACACAAAGATGAGTGTAAACCACATGTTTTACACCAAAGCATCTGAAAAGAAACAAGGGGAAAGACCAAAAGATTATGTCTGAATTCTTTGCTGTCTGCACACACAGATTTTCCTTCTGTTCTCTACACAGTACTTGTAGCTTTTCACTTGGGTTCTTTCACCATGGCTGGAACAGAAAAGGATGAGCAGCATCCAGAGACATTTTATTTTAGAATCTCCAGTTTTTCTAATTACTCAAATGAACTTGCTTCCAAATGAATTGATTATCTCAAGAACAGACTCCAGGAGCAGGCTGCAACACAGTCCATAGATTTTTAATTCCTCTTGCATGTAGGGTGCTTTCTGCATAACATTTTACATAAAGCCATCTCATATCTTCCTAAAAATGAACAGTTCCTTTCATGCTTTCAAGAAAGTGTACAATAATTATAACAATTCCATGCCATAGTGATTCCTACCATTACTGTACTTTGGCATTGTAAAACCAGTGGTCTCTATAAAGGTATGTCAAATAATGATGATGGAAATTTATAACCTACTTTATGGTTTTTCTTTTGGGTTTTTTTTGTTTTTTTTTTTACCTTATCAGATAAATCTTTTTGTAAGTATTCAATTCTTTACATTTTTGCTATCCATATTGAATTTTCTCCGTGATGTTTTTAACATCCTGTGATATATAACATCCCATCATATCTTAAACATTCCTTTACATCAGTATGAAAGGTCATGTACTTGGACTGTTTTTCATTTCATGAACATCTGGGCTTATGAGATTAACAGAACAGTATAGCATTGCCTTCTTTTTGGTCTCTTTTATTAATAACTTGTGAATAACACTTGTCTTCTACCATGTGGATTATACTTCTGTTGGGGTAATTTCCTCACTATAGTAATGGCTGCTAGTTAACCCCTTACTCACAACTGCTGCTGCTACCAGCTCAGATGTATTTCTTCTTATGTTCAGATATATTGTCCTGTATGTTTCCATTGGGTAGGAACAGGTCATTTCCCCAAACACAGGCATCTTGCACCATTTCCACATAAGGAATCCCACCTGGGATCCAGCTGTCACTCTTCTGGAGGAGGCCTGGGGCTCCTGGAGGTCATCTGGTGTATCCCCCAGCCCTGTGCAAATGTCCCTGAGGCTGAAGGTATGTTCAGTGGCACTGGGTGCCCGTGTTTTTCAAAACTTATTTTTATATCTGTGGTGCTCACAGTCAGGAATCGGGGTCCTCCAACAGTGCAGTGGGATGGCCACATGATTTAATGGTGAGGGACTTCAGACAAGGGCCTGGAGTGACAGAACAAGAGGGGAATGGCTTCCTAGAGACAGAAGGCAAGGCTAGGTAGGATATTGGGAAGAAATTCCTGGCTGTGAGGGTGCTGAGGCCCTGGCACAGGCTGCCCAGAGAAGCTGTGGCTGTCCCTGGATCCCTGGAAGTGTCCAAGGCCAGGCTGGACAGGGCTTGGAGCAGTCTGGGACAGAAGAAGGTGTCCCTGCCATAGCAGGGGGTGGAACTGGATGATCTTTAATGTCCCTTCCAACCCAAACCAGTCTGTGATCCTGTTATTTCTCATTAACAAAACCATGAAACAGGAATGAGAATAATTTAAAATGTGTGATAGTAAAGGCTTTACCTGATTGTTTGTTGGTTTCATATTCAGCTGAGAACTCATGGGACATGAGAGATGATATGAAGTCATCTAAAAGGCCATAAGTAGCTTTTCTATGCATAGACACATTGGTCAGAAAGGACCTTAAAGACCATCTCATCATTAATTAAATTTTTTACTGGAGTTTAATTGTTAGAAGTGTGGAGGAATTTGTTCTGCACCTGCAAACAGAAAAACATTTAACAGAGGACTACAAACCTGGAGACAAAAAGCCTCCATAGTGTGTCACCAATCTTTTAATCCCTTATTTCTTCTCTGTGTATTGTGTGTTTTGTGGCTGTATTGTATTTCCCATAGCAATTCCATGAAATTTGGCCACAAGATGGCATCTGATTTCATAACCTTCTTTTAAAATATCACTTTTTAAATTTTTTTTTATTTCCTTGATGGAGTAATGCCCAGTTTTCCTGCAGCAAATTATAACCTACTTTCCTTCTGCCCTAGGGAATGCCTTCAGGGGAAAATGCAGTAGGATTTTCCATGGCATTCTTAGTTGGAACCACCAGCAGAGATGATGGGTGATAGTTGTGAATACTCTGCCCAGTAACCCCACTTCTCCACCCTTCCAGGGTGTAACTGCTGCCTCTGTCATGATTGTTGCATGGTAAATGAGAACTGACAGAAAAACTTCAGCTCATTTCATTTGTGAAATGATCCAGAGTCCCTTAAAGCTGTTGGACAAGCTCCCACTGACATAGAAGAAACTTTGCCTGAGCCCCTGCTTACAGAAAAATATCTTACAATTTTTTAATTCTAACTAAACTGCCCAAAGTTAGGGGTTATGTGTTTCTTCTTTTCTGCTTCAGAACATCTCCCATGTCCCTGCATTTGAGGAATGAGGAGCAAACAGATTTGAAGGATGAACAGACACTCCAGCCAACTCTTCTGAGAAGACTGGGGATTCTGCCTCTGCAATGGCAAGAGAAATGGGTAACTGGGATTTATCAGGGGATCAGACCTACAGCAAACTCCAAGAGTTGGTTTCTGAATGGGAGTTGGGTTAAGCAGTATCTTAATTTGCAAAGAGAGATGTAAATTATTCAAAAATTATTCAAATAGGTTTAGCTTAACTGTGAAAACCAGATTCAAGGCAGCTAAGCACTATTTAGATAACATTCTGCTGGGAAACTACTGGATGATGTGAAAGAAGCTATATCACCTTTTTCTAAGGAACTTTAGCAAATAACAAAATTGTGAATTGCTCTGGAATATTTTATCACAGCTGACCTTCCAGCAACTTAGAGAAGGCAAAGAGTGAGAACCATAAAATTCTTAGTGGCTTTTGCACGTGTTTGTTCATTGCAACCCTGACTCAGAAGCTCCACACCCCTCTGATTGCTGGAAGCTGGTGGGGTTCAGACAGAGCTGTGCTGTATTTTGCCTGGGTCCTGCATTCACAGAATCCCAGAATGGTTTGGGTTGGAAGGGACCTTAAAGCTCCTCTCATTCCAACCCCTGCCATGGACAGGGACACCTTCCACTAGACCAAGTAATTCAGAGCCCCATCCAGGGATGGGGAGTCCACAGCCTCTCTGAGCACATTTTTCCTTCAGTATCTGCTAGCCTCTCCCCTCTTCCCTCTCAGGGACAAGGATCAACTCAGTAGATTTTGGATCTGACATAGTGGGCAGTTTCTGTGCTCTTCCTTAAGCTGCTGTGGCTTTAATCCTAACTGATGTCTATGATTCTGTTTTGGGGTTTAGAAACGTGTGTGTACAAAGACTTCCATTCAGAGCCACACAGTCCATATCCTCTCCACTGGACAGCCACAGAAACCATTTCCTCTCTGTTTTGCAACAGATTATTGAAACAGGAACTGTAGCACCTGTGCTCTTGGCTCATCAAAGGAAGCAATACTAGAAGGTGCCAAATGCACTTTAATTTTTTTAAATAAAAGCTCAGTAGAATTGCTCCAATTCAGCTGGAGAAAGAAGCCTCAGGAACACTGCAGAACCAAGTGTCCTCTACAGCCCACCAGGAAGGACTGTAGGGACTCTTCACAAATTACATACTACAAGGTAAGAACCTCTGTGAGCTGGTCTGGAAGAGCATGCAGGAATTTCAGAGATGGGTGGAACAACCCAGGGAATGTGGGACTGTAGATAATAGTTCATCCTCATTGTTGTTGCTGAACTGATAAATTAAGAAAAAGAGATTTATCTGTGCAGTCTGGTAACCCTGTATGAAATGTAGAAGAAAAGATAAATAAATCATAGAATCATGGAATTGTTAAGGTTGGAAAAGACCTTTAAGGTTATCAAGTCCAACCTTTAACTCAGCACCACTACCATGTTCACCAGTAAACCATTTCCTCAAAGTGCTCACAAAAGAGAGGTGAGCACCAGGCACAGTGATAATGCCTGAAGCAGTAAAAACGATTTTTAAACAAGAAGTTTGGCAAAGAGTGGAACAATTAATCATGGTCCTCGTATTGGTGTGTGTCACTGGATTTTCTGAATGAAATTTTTCTGTGTTTGAGGCAGTGCTAAAGCCTCTTTGCCCTGTGCATTGTGAGGGCTGAGTTTGTCCCACAGGTTTTTCTCAGTGGTGGGACACTGCCAAACTCTTTTAGAAGAGGTATCTTTTAAAACATTGAGTGTCTTTAATTTCTCTGAAACCTCTTCCTCTCAGTCCAGGCACCAGTGACTGAAATGTGCAAGTGAGGTTGCTTATGGAGAGGACAGACCCTGTATGATCAGAGGGCTGAGCTAAACCCTCCTTTTTAAAATGACATTTTATCATAAGCTCTGTTAACTTCATTAAATGTCTGCTGATACTCACCCTGGCATCTTAGAGACTTGTCTTTATTCTTATTGCATTCCACAGAAGTAAGGAAGGGTTGATGTCTTATTTTTCACTGGGACAACTGGAACAGAGAAATTTTAACTGAGATGGCAAAGCTATTTAAGTGTATAATTCTGAGCATTAACTTAAGAGTTAACTTAAGGCTCTGTAAAACTAGTCCCCTGAAGGATATGGAACCAAATAATTTGCTCAAGATCACACTGAAATTGTGTATCAGAGTGTGGGGCTTGACTTCCCTGCACCTGAATGCCCTTCTCCTGTTAGAGACAGGGACTGTACTGCACAGCAGGTGGGGTGGGAAGGAGAATGGAGCCAACCTGCTCCAGCTGCTCTCCTGCCCTTCTGCCCTGTCCCAGCCACCCCAGCTGTCCCAACAAGGTGCTTGTGGCAGTCCCATGCCAGGCTAATGGAGCAGGGCTATTTTAAAGGGTGTAAATAGCAGACCTTTGCTAATTCTGCCTGCTCTCCAGTGCTTCCATGAGCAATTTTCCTAGGAAGCTGACAGGGCTGAAGGCTGTCCCATTTTCCACAGGTATTGCTGGATCTGGGAGAGGATGTTTGCAGAGTCTGTAACTTTTGCACATTTCCATTCTGCCTGAGCCTCCCTTCATCTCTCTGCGGTTGAGAAGTGAAGAAAAAGCTGCTGTTGGCAGAATTCGCTTTTGTGCTGAGATTTGGCCTGAGGAGCTCAAGGGTGTGTTTTGGTGAGGTTTGCTTCAGGTAATTATTTGCCTCTTGGTGCACTTGGTGGTACCAAAGCTCTATGTGAATGTTAAAGAGTGGATTTTCAAAGAGCTTAGAGCTAGTCTAGAGAATATTCCAGCTAACAATTTATTTTGAAAAGAACTGACTCTCTTAGTGAGAGGGGCTGTCTTTGTTTGGCATGGAGGAGTTTCAAACTCTTCCACTCCAGGTCTTAAGGAAAGAGATGACTGCAACACTGAGGAGCTAAGGACAGCTATCCACTGACACCTCCATTTTCAGCTTTCCACATCTGGTTAAGTGCATTATGGCATTTTTGCTTTTACATATGAATCATTAGCTCTTGGCTGTGGCCTGTAGGAAAAAGAGACAGCAATTTTCATGTGCCTGTCCATATTCTTATACAGAAAGGGGATAATATTTTTCTAAAATACACTGTTTGAATGCTGCTGCTACTTCTCTCATCTAAGGATCTTCAAGTTCTCTGCAAATTGTAATCAAACCAACTGTGTGATGAGACAATTCAAAGAATAAGGAGAAATATCAGTTCAGCTTCCATTTATTTTATGAATCAGTAGAGAAACACGTATTCCTTTCCTGCTAAGCAATGAGAAGTTCCTGTTTTATTCGGATGCACTTGAAATGTGAAGTGGGACTGCAGTTTATCCATACTCTTGTTTTTCTGCTAATGTGCTCAAAATGGGGTTTACTTGGAAAATGTGCTTTCTTCAGCAGAACTGGAGTCTTCATCTAAACAGTCTTTCCCAATCTAAGCAGGATAGTAAGTGGAAACGGAGGTTATTCCTCTATTAATCTCCTGTGTGGCTCAGTAAAAGCTCTGGCAACTTCTTGTGTGATTTTCCTGTGTCAAATGGGAAAAACTTTTATACTTTCTAGTCCTCACTTCTGTACTTCAGTCCCAAGCCCAAATTTCCTTTGCTGTCAGCTGCCGCCTTTGTTCCCTTTGAAGCGCCATCCTGAAACCCGGGGAGATTTGAGCTGCGTTTTTGTGCTTTGTTGTCTCACCTGCTCCAGTTCCAACAGCTTGGAACGGGCGAGCAAGGCAGAGCAGCAGCCTTCTGGAAAGGCTCAGATTTGGGAAACCTCTGGTAGCACTACAGGGACTGCAGAGCTCCTTGGCAAAGCCACATATCCCCAGCGTCCGAGTGACTTCCAGGCACTCCTAAGGCTCTCTGAGAGTGCTCCAGAGATCCTGCTTGGCTGCCCAACAGGCTCAGTGTGACAGCAACACTTTCTGCCATCTCTCTTTGATCCACAAAACCACCCCAATCCAGCTGCTGCAGAAAACTGTAGCTTTTTTTCTGTAGCTTTGGAGAGACAGAACAAAGTTTATCCCTTTATAAGGAGAAGAGGCTTTTTGGGTGTCAGAGACAAGTTTAAAATATGGGATAAAACTGTGTCTCAGTTATAAGTCTATTCAAGGGATGGGAATACTGGCTCTATTTCTAGAAGGAGCATTTTCCACTGAGCCTGTGATTCCATAGTAGTTTAAGCCAAAATAAATTGGTGTGCTGTGATCTAGAGCTACCCCTAACCTCTACTTGCACATTCCCACTCCCATCTCCTTCCCTCTCTGTTCTGTGCCTGTAGCTGTGGATGGGGCAGGGCTGCTCCCCACATGCAGGGAGGTTTGCAGGGTGGCAGGAGGGCAGGGCAGAGGTGCTGTGTTTCTGTAACACCCAAAAGCTAAGTCACCACCTGGCCAAAAATTCTGGGAACTTGTGGCCTGCCTTAATCAAATCCACATGTCCAAACAGGAAGCCACTCAGTGCTGTTCTGCAGTTCCATGGGCAGCCTGGGATGGAGAGAGGGGAAGATACTGTTGAGTATTTTTCCTAACTCTCCCACTAATTTATGCTCTTTCTGACCTTTGGCAAAACAATTTAATTTGCAGATGTCCAAACTGTACAATGGGGCTATCAATACATTTCATCCCATAGGAAACTTGCTCAGTGACACTCTGTGAGCCAAAACATCTGAGATCCCTGGACAGAAAGTGCTTCTGTATCGCTGTAATTATGATTTTGTTTGTTATTGCGTGTTTGCAAACATGGGGCAAGAAGTCTGAGAAAATACCATAAATCAAGAACTCTGGAAAAATGTCCAAAGGAAATATATCCTTTGGACATTACTTTCATTCTGGAGTTTGTAAATAGTGGAGTCCATATTAGAAAAAATATTTTTCTGCATTCTGTTGTCACTGAAACTGTGGGGAAAACAGAGTGACATCTTGTCCCCATGTAAAAATATTGAGATCAAAATAAAAAATGGCTTATAATTTTTTCCACCTTGATTCTTTTCTTCAGGGGGGAAAAAGAAGAATGTTACAGGGAACCCAGAGCATTACCCTGTCTGGGCTGTGCTGCATGGGACTAATGCAAAACTGAATCACAGAGTCATGGAATGATTTGGATTGGAAGGGACATTAAAGACCATCTTCTTCTAACCCGAGATCCATAAGATCCAGTAGAGAAGAATAAAGTAAGGGGAGCCCAGCCAAGCACCTCTGCTGGTCCCGACTGTTGGAGTTTATCAGGGTCTGAACTCAAGTCTGGGCTTTGTGACTGTCATGAGAAAGGTAGAGCAGGTTACCAATAATGGAAACACTCAGAAAAACAGTTTTGTTTCCTGTTGAAATGTTTCTGCTCTCACACATGTGCAGCCAGGGCGTTTCCATGGGCAGCACTGCTGGAAGCCTGCTTCCTCCTCCCGCATCTGGGCTGGCAGTCAGGAGTGAATGCGGGAGACCAGGTTGACAAAGAGCTGAGTATTATCCTGAGGATAAATGAGTTAACCCATCACTGCAAACACTGTGCTGGCGGATTTTAGTGCAATTAGCTCCACAAATACCAAGACATGCAGTCTGCAACCAGACTAAAAGGTCTCCTAAACAATTAGGGGACCACGGCCCCATGGACCCCTGTCATGCACATTAATGTCACTGGCCTTAGCAAGGGGGATGTGTGTGCTTTGATGCCAGGGGAATCCAGGGTTTGACGGCCCCATAAACTTCATCCCATTTTTGGTCCCACGACTCAGTGGCATTTTATTTACTGCACCTAATAACATTTAGTTAATAAACACGTACAGGTTGGAGAGAAGGTCTAGTGTGAGCTTAATTACCTCAACTCTCTGCCTTCTCTTTTGTTATGTACATCATGGATACTTGACAGCATTAACATTCCTGGAATTGTATCTGCCATCCTTTGTAAAAGGATTGAATACTACTAGTTCGGGCTCGTGGGGCATTTGTGTCTCCAACAACAGCTTAATTATGGACATTGTTTACTAATCAGTATTAAATTGACAGACTATGAGGGCTAATCTGGAGATTAACACAATAGCTTGTTTTCATTTTGTTCTTCTAGCAGTTTATTGAATGCAAGATTTAAAACAAGACCCTTTTGTGAGCTTTACCTTCCCCATCACAGCTGTGTGAGTGGAAAGATCTGTGCATTTCCTTTCTGTAACTTTAGAGTTTGGGTACAAACATTTTGCTCAATATCTAAGAGCAACCATAAAAATATATTTGTTGTATTGGATGTAAAAGCAGTACAGGGTGTCCTTTCTATAGGATCAGCAGCTCACAAATCTTTGGGCTCATTTTAAGCCTCCTGTTTGTTCTGTTTCACAGACTACACAGAGTATCATCACTCAAACAAATGCCAACAGACCCCAGGCCTCAAGGAGTAATTTGTGTAGTGAGAAGATCTGATGTCACTGTGTGCAAAGTCATTCAGTGAAAGCTGTGGGCACCTCTGGGCCATCTGTTTTGCCCATACAAATTATGGAATTCCCTGCTAGTTCTGATTTCCCTGTGAAGAATTTCCAATGCTGGCCATGAAATCTGCCCAGAGCTGAGTTTGTTCTGCACAGGCAGGTGCCTGTTTGATCATGAGGAATATAAGGGTTTGTTTAGGGAAGGACACACATGTGAGAGTGTTTTACACACATTGTGTGTCTGCTCTTGTCTGACTGCAGCACCGGTGATTTACAGCCATGACACTGATCTGACATGTCAAGTTTCCAAAATATTCACATCTGTATTCCACTCGGATTTTCCAAACTGCTGAAAACACCTTGGGTTTTGTAGTCTGGGAATCTTTGCTTCCTGCAGGATTACTTATCTGATTAAGTATAAATGGATGAAAACTCACTTAGTAATAATGAGATAATATTTTTCTAGTCTCTTACTTCCTCCAAGGGCGATGTAGAGTGGAAGAAAGTGATGCCATGCTGCACTTCACAACACCAGTGACAGTGGGAGAGTGATAAAACAACCAGGAGCAAGAGGAAAAGAGCTGTTACTTCCCTCTGTCCCACACGTGGCAATTCTCCTATGCAAAGTTTACTGACAGTGTGGCACTCCAAATTACATTAAGGAGCAACAGTCATTTTACTCATGGTAAGAAATATGACAAATCCAGCAAAAAATCTGACAAATATTTCTGAACTGCCCAGCAGAGTGTCTCCAAAGTCAGCGCTCTTCTTGTCCATGCTCTCCTTATGCTGGAAGTAATTAGTATAAAAACCCTAATCTCTTTTTTGCATCCGAGCCACGCGGTATAATCCAGCCTTTCAGAAGGATAAATCAGTATTTCTGAGCTCACTTGGATTTCATGTAAACAATGAAGGGCTAATTCAATAAAATGGCTTTGACCCATCAAAATCTACCTTTGGGAGCTGTACTGCAGGCTGGGAGTCCACATGGGGTGTTGTACATTCAGGAGTCTTCAAATCTGCCTCTTTGGGGAATAGCTCAGAGTGCAGATGGACCAGCCTGAAGGAGAGACACTTGTGAGACATTTTGCACCTTGCTTTTTGAGTCATTCTTAAAGAATTTTCTTGTCAAATACAATATGAGACTTTTCTGATTTATTCACAAGTCTTGGGAAAAACAAAGGAAGAAAGTGACTGCTTTTTTTTCAATTTTTAAAATTTTTGATTTTAAGCTTCTTTAGAGGACTTTAGTTTTCAGGAAACATTAAAGATTTCTACTGTCTGTCTCCTAAAAAAAAAAAAAAAAAAAAATCACAAGAATGATATTAAAATTGAGGCATTCATATGCATTTGTTGGTTTCTGAAAATTGAAGATAGAGGTCTCCAAACATTTCAGCTCACAGCCTCTGACAAGTCTCCCAAAAGAAGTGTAGGCGTCTGCACAGTGAGCTTAAGACCATGGCAAATAGGGTCTTTTATAGTTCTGCTGCTGACTCCTTAAAAATTGTCTGTTAATCACAGGTTGAAAGTGGTGTAAAAGATTGGTTATTGTAGCACAGGCAAGTTTTATTTACATTTTACTTTTGCTCTTTGCTGGGGTTGGGAGGTGTCTCTGCCCATGGCAGGGAATTGGAACTACATGGATTTTAAAGTCCCTTCCAATCCAAACCATTCTGGGATTACATGATTGTGTGGCTGCTCATTTACACAGGAGCAGCAGGGTTTTACAAACTGATTCATTTTGACTTCATAGCTGTGAATACAAATACATAAACCAGGTATTTTAACTATTACACAGGTTAACCACTCTGCTCTCTGGATCCACCTTTTTGGCAGTTACTTATATTCAGTCCTTTTTAAGCAACAGTTTTGAAATGGTGGGCACTCCAATGTTTTCCTGGGACTCTTGGGAAGCTGATAAAGTTTACCAGTTAATCCAATAAAGCTAAGTCTGTTGCATCAGACCACATCAGGCAGATCAGTTTACACTCTGTCTTTTAAAGCAGGTCTTTGTTTATTTTTTTAAAGAAGTACCTGCTACCTGTACATGTGCTCTCCAGGCAGGAGGGACCACCCCACTGATCATCTATTTCCAGCCCCTGTTTCTGTAGGCCATGGAATGTTTCTTGGAAGCTGGATTAAAGTGTTGAGTATCTGGTCTTTCTTAAAGGCTAAGAAGAACAAAGCCAAATTCTGTACTAATGTGTTCTGATATTTTATAATGGTTATTACAAGAAAATGAGTTTTTGTTTCAGAGCTGAATTCACCTGTCTCCATGCAGCCACTGGAATTTTGTTATATTTCCATTAGATCAAGAAGTTCCTGACTCAGGCCACTTCTCCATGCATTAAACTCAAAAACTGAACTTCTTAAGGCTCTTATTATAAGCTTTCCTTTTCAAGAACTGAATATTTTTGGACCCCTTCTTTGAATACTTGAGGAATATTCCAATCTCCTTCAAAGCCTGAGCACCAGAACAAAGCAGCTGCTCTAACAGATGTCTAATAGATGTGTACAGAAGCATTATTGCATTTGTTTTTATTTCATAGATGTCTTATGATCAAATGAGCTATTGTTTTTTTGCCACAGCATCTCAGAGATTTGTGCCTGTCCATTTCCCCTTACAGCTTTCCAAGTCTCTCTCCCATCTGATGGCAAAACCTACATGTTATATTTCAATATATATTAAATTGGCCAAGTCACACATCCATGGTAATACAGTTTTTCTTGCTATCTACTACAGACAGAGTTGAAAGCAGCTTTTTTCACACCCTGATGACAACTGGATGCACATTACTGCTCCCTTAGACCTTTAGAAGCATTCAGGCTTGTGTATTTCTGTACATTCTCTGACAACCTAACAGGTAAGTGGCTGCAAAAACCCCAAATACTCTCTGGTTCCACCTTTCTTTGCAGAAGGAGATGTAACCACTGGTTAAATGACCCATCCCCAAGTTTCAGCTGTGTAATCCTTCCTTCTTCAGGGAGTGGAGGAAAGAGAAGGAGGTTTCTAACACCTCCTTTTTACTACTTTTGCTATTAGAACATAGAGGTTTCTAAACTTAATCTCTCTCAAACTACAACACCCTAAAATGCCTTTAGACATTGTCTTCTAGGTTTTGCTGTGCCAGTTGAAGATATTATTATCCTCAGCTATTCTTTACCACTGGCACATAAAGATTCCTTCTTCCCAGCACATCAAAAAACGAGCCAGATTAGATCAGACTGTGTGTCCAAACAGTTTTAGTTTCTCTAAACCAGAACTGCCTCAGCAGCACACTCACCTCTGCTTCTCCTTCTCCTGTCTTCCCACAGTCTTTAGTTGCTATCAGACTGTGCAGTGAGGCAGCTTGGAGAAGGCAAACCCATTAATAATTACTCACTTTTTGTTAGGGTTAAGACACAACCACATTTGGTTTCTTTTATAATGCAGGGAGGAATCTCTTGAGAGTAATCCAGACCACCAAAATTCTGATTTTCTTCCTCTCCTTTTAGGAAAGCCGAGGATAAAGTTATATGATACAGTTGAGCTGACCTAACATCTTGCCCTGCTGTTGAAAGAGGCAGTTCTGCTCCTCCCCACTTCTCACTCCACAGTATCATGATTATCCCATTCTCAACCTCCATTTACTCAGTTTGGTAAGAGATTCTCAGCCCATCTTCCAGGAGGTTGTTAACCCACCGTGTGAGACTAAAACCCCTGTTCTCTGTAAAAGTTGTTGCACTGTGTAACAAAACCAGTTTTCCCCTCCTTCACTGCTTTCTTAAGGAGCTAAACTTTCACTTACTGTTCTTGGCCTTGCTTGGGGAATTTTCTGAGAGTTCCTTTATAAACCCTTTTCTGCAGTCTGCCGGGAGCTCTGGGATGGTGCCTGGTGTAATATCATGGATGTCATTGTGGATTCTACTCAAAGAAGTACAGCTGGACTTGATGATGTTAGAGGTCTTTTTCAACCTTAATGATTTTGGAATGCTATATTATCCTTCCTGAACTTGGAATCTTCCATGTTCATTCGTGTTATAATATGTTGCCTTCATTCCTGGAAAACTACTGATTTTCTTATTTTCTGTCTTTTGTCTCTTTTAGGAGACTAATCAGTCTCCTTTATGGGATTCTCAGTCAGGACTGAGAAATTTAGAGTTATGTCTCTGACTCCTGAAGTCTGTCTGTTTTGAGCCAGTGGCAATTCTCAAACAGCTCCTCCTGCTCATTCTTCAAATGAGCAATCTCTTCATATGTCTACAGTGTCAGGTACAATTAAATACACCTAAGGATAAAGATTTTGGGCTTCCTCCTTGCTCTGACATGTTTTCAGTCATCTTTTGTTTCCTTGTCTATGGTTTTTATGTGGTTCCTCTGGGAGGAGAGAGTGCAGGAGGCCCTGTGCAGTGATTTGGAACTATCAATGTGGAAAGATGCTTCTCTTGGACTCAGATTTTCTCCTCCACCTGAGCTATTACTTGGTACTTCATAAAGGCAAACCCATGTCTCTTTTGAAGGAGAAATCAAAATTTGAACGTCCAGTGTAGTAACATAAGCTGATGATCCTCTGTCCATCTGTGTTGCTGATGGGAAACTCTGCAAAGCAAATACTTGAGCTCAGCTCTGGGAATATTTTTAGAAATCCCATGGCCAACCAATTGCCTTTCACACTCTGTACTCCCTCGGTACCATCCCTTGGCAAAGGGTTGCAAATAAGCTTAGGAAATCAGTCAGAACCTAAAGTTCTGACCAACACATTCTTGTTCCTGATGCCAGCTACTCAAGAATCCTAGAAGCAATCACACAAACCCCCAAAAGACCCTGAGGGTGGGCTTTGCACAGACTCCAAATGTGATGCTGCTGCAGGGGCATCACAGAGCTGCCAAGTCATACCAGGACCCCTCAGCTGTGACTGCCTGCTTGTATCACTCACTGTTGACCATGGGGAGTCAGGGGTTGATAACTTTGTTGCAGGCCAATGTTCCTTTGTTTCCTGCTTTTCTCAAAGCTCTGTGCCCAGATGAAGCCAAAGCTGTTTAAATTACTGTCAGTCATAGAGATGCAAATGTCCATTGGGCTTTTTATTGGATTTTCCCATCTATAACTCCACCTTTTCCTTGAGCAAAGGAAGCAGTGAGGGAGGAAAGGAGCTGCCCTACGTTAATTAGAGACTCTGCTTTTCCCAGTGACAGACTATCACTAATTACAACACATCAGTGACCCCCCACTTGCCTCAGTGCTGCTGCTTGGTGAGCTAATGAGGGGGAGAGGAGGAGCTGGAGCAAGAGGCTGTCCTGAGTGGTTTGAAGTGGTGTGGGGAGTATTTACTTCACCCTAAAATGGAGTTTGAGCTATGAGATTGGGGTTTGCAACAACTATACTGCTATGTTCTTGTGACTTAATATTAAAGATGCTACAGATGCTTAAATTAATGAATAAACTTTGCAGCATGTCCTTGTCTTTGAGTGGAAGGAGGCCTGTCCCCATTCCTTGTTTGTGTGCAGATGACCTGCTCCACCTCATTAGCTCTGCAGTGCTGGTTGGTGTGCTGGGAAGGATGATCCTGAAAGATCCACCCATCTGAAAGGGATGAAGAGCGGCAGCTCAGACAAAGCTGCCATCCCTGCTTCCCCCACAGGAATTGATTCTTTGAGGGCACAGGAACAGGGATGCAAAGGAGCAAAAAGCTTCCATTTCCCTTGTGAAATGAATGAGAATGTTCCTGCTCTGATTTTTTAAATCATGCACATGCATTTAATATTAAACCATATTCTATAATCAACAGTCCAGGCCCTGATTTGAGTTAAATAGTCCTCGGCTGGGGAGCTGACCTTCCCATTCCTGTGGCATTTGAAACTGCCAGCTGCTGAGTTATTTTAGGTGTTTTTTCAAGAACACAATGCACAGCTAGATCCAATGATCAGCCCCTGAAGGAAGTGCTGTCCTCTTTAGTTTTGTACAATTATAAATTTAAAAGACTTTTGATCCTTTAAAAAACTCCCCTCTAGCTGGATGAAAAATACCCCTTTCCTGAAAGGTAATATAAATGGCAAACTAACCAGTCAACTAAAGTAGTAGATTTACATTTTTCAGAATTCTCTAATTCACTTCAGCTCTCCAAACCTGATATTTAAAAAAGGTGTTACTATAATTCAAAACAATTCAGCAAATTTTGCCAGATTATGTGGTTTAAACAATATACCTTATCTCTGCTGACACCAGTGAGATTTGACTATTTACTCGAAGGCACTACAATATTTTTCTGTTGATTTGGGGATATTATAAAATATGTAGTTAAATTAAAATTATTCTTAAGAACCTAAATTAGTTAAATGTCAGTATCTGCTAGGCTCAATACCATTAAAAGGGAGAATCACACATTTAGGAGGGATCCAGAGAATCAAGTTCAGGGTGAAATGAACTTTTCTTGTCTGTAAAGCAGTTGTTGAAGTCTCAGGAAGAGAGGTTTGTACTGGGAATGCTGTTGGCATAGTGATAACCATCAAACTGAATGGACTCTTGGAAAGAACAACACTTGATAACAGCTGTGTTTGCATTAAGCATTTTTAGAGTTCAGTTCAGAGCAGCTTTGCACCATATATGTAGAATTTTTATGCAGAATTTGCATACAGAAAGCATGGAATGCTCTTTACTGGGTAAATTATTTGCTTCTGCTATTTATTACACTCCCCCCCCACTCCCCCATCCCCTGGGCACACGTGGCTGCAAGGATTTGAGTTAGTAGAGAAAACAGGTGTGCCTGGTCAGAAGAGCAAAAAAGCAAGTATTCAAGGGAAAAGTAGGATTTTTGTTTGGAGAGAGATGTATAAAGCAGCCCTCCCTCTGGGTCCAGCTAAAGTGACCTTTTGGCAAGAGTGAATCAAGGCACAGATAGCTGGGCTGTATTTACCTCAGCTAATGCAGATGCTTTAATTCTCTCCTTATTTGGCAAAGCATTTAAGTACCACCTTAAGTCAGGAATATTGCTGTACCAGGCTTACTCTCTCCTCTCAGAGAAAAGGATTCCTCTAGATGCTTCTTCAGGTCATCAATGCCATGAGCCATATCCTCTCACTTTAGAGAAACCACAGGGAACTTGCATGATAAAACTGAAACAGTCCAACACCTCATTTCAGGGGACAGGAGCATTCTTACTCCTCTTCCTCGCCCTTCTTCCCAATGAAGTGAATAATTTTCCTCTGTGGCAGCTGCTCCCATGCTTACCCAGACTGCATAGTAAAAGCTGATTCAACTCACAAATCTGTAAGAAAATAATCTTTTTTCTTTGGTCAGGTGTAGCAAAAACATTCCTGCAGGCTGAGGGAATCCATCCGAGGTCAGGGGAGTGCCAGGCTCCTGTTTTCCAAGAATAAAGTAAACCAAAAAATTTGACTTCTGCTTTCCAAAAGGCCAAGCATCAAGTAATCTGGTCTAATGGAAGGTACCCTTGCTTGTGGCAGTGGGATTAGAACTAGATGATCCATAAGGTCCCTTCCAATCCAAACCATTCTGTGATCCTGTGATCCCATGATCCTGTGATCCTGTGAACCTGTGGTCCTGTGATCCTGTGGTTCTGTGATCCTGTGGTTCTGTGATCCTGTGATCCCATGAGCCTGTGATCCTGTGATTCTGTGATCCTGTGGTTCTGTGATCCAGTGGTTCTGTGATCCTGTGGTTCTGTGATTCTGTGATCCAGTGGTTCTGTGATCCTGTGGTTCTGTGATCCTGTGGTTCTGTGATCCAGTGGTTCTGTGATCCTGTGATCCAGTGGCTCTGTGATCCTGTGGTTCTGTGATCCTGTGGTTCTGTGATTCTGTGATCCCATTATCCTGTGATCCAGTGGTTCTGTGATTCTGGGATCCTGAGATCACAGCCCAATGCCCCACAGCCCTCAAGCCTCACCTCATGTTT